GGTTTTTTCTTTTTTAGTGGTTAGTACACACTTGCAGTTACTCTGTAATAGCTGAGTCTGATTCACTCTTATCCAAAACCCTCCTGAGGAGCCAGAGAAGCACTGTGACACTGCCTGGTCCCTGTCACCTTCCCTACCTCACCAGCTCCATGCAGTGATGCAGGACCAGCCAGGACTGTGGAAGGGTTTGAGGGTTTGATTCATTCAGAGGCTGTAGTGTGTGCTGTGCCATTCTAGGGCACTGAGGGGAGGAAGGATGGAGAGGTTGGCAGTTTGGTGAGAATGTCTGTGTTGGAGGAACTGATTCCCTTTGGGAGTTATGCGCCCCAAGAGCATATAGAACTACTCTTGCTCTTACCTGATTTGGGCTGCTCACTTTTTAATAGTGTCCAGAGTATGCAGAAGAGGGACCAGCGGCTGAATATGAGACTTATCCCAGAGCAACTGGAGTTGATGATGTAGAAATGTTTCTCTTTGGAGAAATGGTGCATTATGAACCTGGCAGCAGTGCTGTGCTCACCCATGTTCCTGTTCCCTGAAGTAGCCAGGCACAGAGCAACAGCAGCTGAGGTGCTGTTGTATCTGGTCCTTACTTTGATTTCCTCTCTGTGCATTTGGAAGCAGCAGCTGCGGTCTGAGAGCAGTGGTTCTCGTGCTGTTAGGTGAAGGGTGTGGGTTGCAGTGGTCACCATTCACAAGGATTGAGATAATGTCCTATCCACTTCTTCAGCTGACATCTGAGATTGAATTAGAGCTGTCAAGTCTGTCAATTTAAGAGTTGCCTGTCTTTTCATTAAAGGAGACATCCTTAGCCAGGAGAAGAGTGCCTAATCAAGTACCGTTTTGGAGTATGTCGTCAAAAATAATTGCTTTTTCTAATAGCTGAACATCAGCTAATAAAATAGGTGTTTTTAAAATGAATAGATTGTCAGATGCAAGCCACAGTGTCTGTAAAGAAGGTATTTGGAGATTGACCAATAAAAAAATTAAGTACGATGTTGGTTAACCTTAATTTAGCAGCAGCGAATGTATTGCTACTTCTAGAGTAAAGAGAAAAGTGAAGGAAAAGAAAGTGCTTTGATGCCATAACATAGCATCAACCAAGCACTCAGGAAATGTTACCAAATCCAAGCCAGGCTGTTGGACTCTTTGTGCCTGTGTTCAGGCATGTGAGTCTGTCTTGGCATTTGCCCCTGGCACAGGATCTCCTGGCCAGAGATTCGCTGTCCCTGAGATGTTTTTTTCATCCTCTGGCTGAAAGCCAATCTTTTCCCTTATGACTGGTACATATCACACAATAGTGATAGCTGTTTCTGCACATCCCCCTTTCTGTGTACATTGATGACAGAGGGATGATGTTCCATCCTTGTTATCCTCAGGTTTGGTAGCAAGAGTATCTAATCTGTGCATAAAAGAGAGTGCAGACCAGGCTTCCACTTGCTGTTGAGGCCTTGTGGAAGGAGAATTAAGACAATGTAAACTAAGGTATGTCAGGTGAGGTGGTTGAGAAGACTACTTAATTAAAAAAGTAACATGTACTTAGGGCTGCAGGACGTGTCTTGATGTGGGCATCTTAGTGAGACCAGAGCTTTGCCTTTTGTAGAAGGCTCTGAGAAGCACTGCAGTAGCAGTGGTGACAACCTCTATTTATTTTGTCTGCTGCTGTGGACAGGGAAAATTATGTGTGTGTTTGACGTGTTGGTAATGAATTTCTTTTGTACCAGGCAAACACTGTAGAACATCTCATGAAAACATCCTAATTAAGGAGTGGATCTGAGTAGACATACAATCTCTAAAATATCAGAAGTTCCACTCAATTTAATGTACATCAGCAGCTCCCATGAGAACATTTCAAAATCACTAAGCTTCTGTTTAGCAAAATGGGGATGAGAGTAGGGGCTCTGAAGGACTGTAAATGAAAGATTGCCTAACTCTGAGGGAATTGTCTGACTTCTGAATGTTTTAAAGCAGGCTTGTTTTTCAGCCACTGTTTAAACGTGTGCATAAAGCAGATGTTCATACTGAGCAGAGCCTTCCACAGGTTTGCTCATATAGTCCCAATGCCTTTTCAAGATCTGGCGGAAGTGCCCTGTGAATCTCATCTGCGTGATGCAGGTACTGAGATTAGGTGGAATATGATTGTGGTGGAAGTGAAAGTTTCAGTCTCTACACTTGTGCATTCATTTTTTACACTCAGAATTCCTTGAGAAAGGAAGTTAAATGTAGAAAATATTCCTTTTAGAGGAGAGATAAGTTGTTTAGAAATTCATATCCACTGAAAGCAATCAAAATATCTTAGCGATGTCATGTTCAACAATTTAAAGCTTATTTTTAGCTTTCTTCGTGAAACTTAATCTTTGAGGTCATCAAATAGACGAGTCGGAGCCAGCAGGAACCTGCATGCTCTGTGCAACCCTCCCATAGGAATTGGGCATTCATCAACCCTTTCCTTCATGGATCCCATGATATTTTGGAAAAGTTCATTGTTGACAGACCTGTGTATCTGCAGAAAGTGTTCCTGAAGTTTGAGTTGATGGACGTGTCAAAGTGAAACTGATTACAGAACTGGAGCTCAGAATGGGAAGGGTCTGGCGGTTGCCCCATGTCTGCCTGAGCTCTGCCTGCTGTGTTCAGAACTACTCTCCTCAAGCAGGAGCCCTGTCTCAGTGATGCTGTCAGATGTCACTGCTTTTTTTCCCCCCTTTGCCTCACTACAATTCTTATGCACCAACTGTTCTCTGCCACGGGAAAGACTATTTTTTTCTGGTATGTGCAGTGTCCAGGCCAGGATTTACTGGACAAAAAGAGTAAGATCTCCCCCTTTCCTCACCAGCAGCAGCCATTTGGCAAGGACAATTAGCCATAATTAACAGTGATAACTAGTGTCAGGACAAATGGAAACGGCTTTAAGTTGCTCTGGGGGAGTTTCGGTTTGGGTATCAGGAAAAAATTCTTTTCAGAAAGAGTGATGAGGTATTGCAGCAGGCTGTCCAGGGAGGCTGTGAAGTCACCATCCCTGGAGGTGTTCAGGAGCCATGGAAGTGTGACAGTGGGGGATGTGGTCAGTGGGCATGGTGAGGATGGCTTGGTGTTTGAACTAGCTGATTTTAGAGGTCTTTTCTAACCTTCATGATTCTATGATGGATTCAAGCAGAGTGCCGGGGGATGAGTGATTCCCTCCCAGCAGCCTGGGTTGTGCCTGTTCTCATTGACCTACTCCCCTCATGGAGCTGCTCATGCCCCCAGCCCCTCATCCTGCAGCCAAAGGCCCCATTCCCTGCCATTTTTTCCTGCTATTTTTACAAGGAAGCAATCACACAGTGGGTGTTTTGATTTGTATCTAGGCCACCACTGTTTTCTGCATCCTTCAGAAGCCTTTCTTCTAGCACAGTATGCTTCCTTATAGGAACATTTAGCCAGTCTTTCTGGAAACATCACTTCTTGAATTGCTTTTTGGTAACAAGCATGATTTATAAATCTCATGGAAAGACGGACACGTGCAACAAACCTTGCACAGAGACATAGCTGCGTGTCAGAAGCAGTTTTGTAGGTGAAAGTGTTCCCATGCCCAATTCAGTGAGGAGTGCGGTGAGCGACAGCTTTAGCAGTGCTCAGTTTGGCAGAAGATGAACTTGGAGCTTTTTGCACCTTCTGCTGAAGCTGCTGAGAGGACGGGACTGCCCTTCATTAAAGCATGTCTGAAGACTCCTTGGTACAACAGAGGTGCCACGTGGTGGGGAAATTAAGCAATTAAATTTTTTTTTTTTTAATACTTCCAGGGGGATTTTTTTTATAAGAATGTTTCCTAAACAAGTGTAGATGGGACTGCAGCAGGGCATGGTCCAGCAGGAGCCCCTTGGGTTATACCAACCAACCTTTTAAGGGTATTGAAGAGCTTAATTTACAGATATGAGCTGGGTGTACTGTGTGGTTACTCTGTTGCTCTGGAAAGTAATTTGGACGGGTAAGTAGACCTGCAGTACCAGATTCTTTATTTCATTGCTGCAGAGAGGGGAAGAGATTCTTCCTAAACATTCCTGCGGTCTCTCCCTCATCTATTCGGAACAAGTTTTAGGACCCTGGGGTGAAGGAGCAGGTTCTTATTTAAATTTTGGAAAACCTCTGGATGCGAATTCCTAACCCAGTGCTGTACAGAACGTCTTGTCTTGTGAGAGCCTCAAAGACTTAAGATCTGCCTTAATATACTCTGGTGGGCTGTCATTCCTGGGATACCAATTAAATTTTCTTTGAAGGTGATTCCCCTAAACACAGTTGCTTTTACTGAAGAGCAGGTACAAGGCATAGTCTTTAACAGTATATATTAACACCATCTTCTCAGTGCAAGGCTCACTCTGCACCTGGACTGGCACAGTATGAACTCCTTGTCTTTGCACTTAAGTCTGGCAATTTTTAAATTCTCAGGAACTGTATTGATGATTTGAGTTTGTGTGTGTGCTTGAACATTAGTTTTAAAAGCCTTCTGTTTGACTACAGATGTTGTCGTAGCAACTTGTTTTTATTGATGGGTACTCATTACTCTTCTGTTGTCCAGTGAAGCAGACAGTTGTGCGTACATTTTCTAGGCACTGAAGAAGTTTCTTGCTCACTAAGTTCCACATCTGGAGATTTCAGGCATTTCTTCTCAGTTAGTGCTGGTACATATTAATGATCTGGTTTTTGTATAGCACAAATGAGGTTGAAGTAAAGTCACATCAATAAATGAGTTAGCAGTCAGACTGAGTGTGTCCCAGAGCTCAGGATTTCTACTCTTTTCTACTTCTTTCTACTTCTACTTTTCACTCCTGACCATTCTTCCCTTGCTTTAGGATAAAGGCAGTTTCTGAGCTCTCAATGGAAACAAGTTCTGAGCAAGTACTTATTTGGAGAAGCTCTGAATCATTACCTTATGTCTTCCTGCTCTGCTTTCCATCCTAAGATGCATCCTTTTAGCTTTGAGACCAGATAAGCCAATGCTTAATATAGTATTCTTTTAATTCCAGTCCTACATGGAAGATCACCTGAAAAACAAGAATCGTCTGGAGAAAGAGTGGGAAGCTCTTTGTGCTTATCAGGCTGAACCCAATGCCACCACTGTTGCACAGAAGGAGGAAAACACCCAGAAGAATCGCTCCCGGGCTGTAGTACCATGTATGTATACTTTAATTTCCATGGCTACTTCTTAAATTCTTGATACTTCTCTCAATATCCTTTGCACAGTGCTTGGAGAGTTTACAGATGCCAGGCAAACAAAATACAGAGTAGTGTATGTGTACACTAGAGAAGTGTAGCTATGAATATGGCTGGATCCATGTCCTGTTGTCATTTCAGAATGTGTTTGTCTTCTCGTAAGTTGCATATATGTTACAAAAATGCACAGTTATGCCACCGATTGCTGCTGCTGCAGCTGTGCTGTCTCATGAAATTCAATAGCCAGAGTGCTTTTCAATGTTGGAATATACTTTCTGTGCAAGAGTGGCATCTGTAGCCATTCAGCAGAAAAGTTTGGCTTGTTTGGACAAGTTGGTATCGTGTCCATCCAACAGTAATACCAGCAGTCTATAATCAGAGCTGGATGATCTGTTTATCAGATACTCAGCTGTACTGAATGAGCCCCTCTAGGCTTCAGTGGATAAGCTTGCAAACTGGCTTCTTTCTCTGCTAGGATTAGGATGAAAAGAAGGAAAATAAAAAGGGAGCCAGTTTATATTCCTAGAATGTACTTTTTCTGTAAGCAGCCATTTTTTTTTTTGAGTTTGAAATAAAAAGAACACATTTTTCTTATGCAAATGTATTTCTCATAGTTTACATGGGTAATCTGCAGCCACGTGTTTTATTAAGCAACCAATGAAACAAAACTGAAGCTGAGAATATATGCAGAGTCCACAGCAACAAAAATGCTCTCAGTCAGTGTGCCCACAATCCAGCTGGGTAGCTTGGCAAACATACACAGCTACTTTAATTTTTAAAGTGCTCTGAAAACATTAATTTTCCCTATGAGAGCCTTAAGTACTATTTTTCCTTTAGAAGTGGGAAAATGACAGGTAAGACATTAAGTAAATGTCAGAGCCAGATTTGGAGTGAAGATTTTTTGGAGCTACTTGGTAATTTCCCTGAGCCCATCAGTGCCCACGTGCTTGTTTCAGTGGGATTTGGCTCTCCTCTTAATTTAGAGATTCTTTCTGCATTACTGTGCTGCTTAGGAGAGGAGCACTGTAATTCTGCAATACACGTTCTTACGAATAAATATCATGCTGGTCAAAAGTCTGCTAGGACAGTATTGATTGATTCATGTGTTTGGGGATCATGTCTGTAGAAAAATACTTTAAAACAAAAAAAAAAAAAGGATAGAAGTTAAAGGAGTGTAATACCTCTGTGCTCTTTTCCATCCCCCTGCCCCAAAATAGCATTTATAGACATAATTTGAAGTGAAAACTGCTCCATAATATGTATTGGTCAGTGTTGAACTTTATGCTTAAAGCATTCTTGTTAATGTGGACTTCCAGTCGGGCTGTGTTAAGCTGCTCTGAGCCTCCGTTCATGAATGAATCCAGATTGTTCCTGAGTCCTGCCTTGGAGGCAGCGTGGAAGCTGTAGGTGTTGCCAGAAATTGATGCTGGTTGTTGAGCTGATGCAGTGAGTGTGTCTGCATAATACAGCAAGCAATGAAATAGGAACCTTCAGGCCATTCTGGCAGTGAGTCCAGAAGCAATATAGCTGTAGCAGCACTAAAGAGCAGGGAGTTTTAGCTTAGGTGTCATGCCACACTAGACAGCTGAGCTATTTTCAGAGGTGAGTTGGCAGTCTTTCTCTTTTCATCGTATCCTACTGCTTGGATGAATCAGCCTGTAGTGATCAGCCAAGGGTGTACAACTTCCTGCCTCTTGCTTCTTGCATAGTGTGTTCTGTGCCTGTGCTATCCATGTACACCAGCACAGTGGTTACAGTTCATCTGATGCTTTAATTAGAAGCATTTTGGCACACTTAAAACTCTTTTGACTTTAGCAAGAGTAAATAGCAATCTATTGCCTTTGTTACAATATGGAAACTTCTGTTCTGGCTAGGGGTGTGCTTGGAACTTTCCTCTTTGAGTTGTACAAAACTTCCTGCTCTCCCTTCCCAAAGCTGTGTGTGCTGGTAAACAGCTGTTATGTTGGGTCCTTAGAACTGCTTCAGTGGATGAAAAGTGTGGCATTTTGATAAGATATTGGTTACTGTAAACTCTAAAATTAGGGGTGAGGAAAAAAAGGTCTCTTTTTTATGTTGTTTTTTTTATGTTATGTTTTTTTTGCATAGGTTTCTTTTTTTATGTTGTTGATAGGCTTTTGATAACAACGTAGTAGCATATGCTACATTCAGTGTATTCTCAACCCTGCCCTTTTCATATTTATAATCACCTTGACAAGATAAAACAGGATTGCCAATTCATATAAAAGATTTCATCTTAGGAAGGCTTCAAAGAAGCTTTCCTACTGTATTGTATTTGCTTCCAGTTTTCCTTTCTTAACCAGTCTTAAAATATGAGGATATTAGTTTTTTTACTGGTTACGCACTGGTGCCGTTTTATAGGTACCACAGGTATATCATAACTTACTCTTTTACCTATCTTCTCTATACACAAGTTAGTGTCAGAATCACCTTGACACTGCATTTAGTTAATTAACTACTTGTTCAAAAAATTCTGAAAAGTAAAGTAATTTAGACCTAGGTAAGTAAATAACATCCTTTTATCCAACCAAGAAGCATTGCAATAGCTTAGAGTGGTGGAATACATAGGTAAGTTTATCTTGAAAAAAAAAAAATATATATATATATATTTGGCAAATGCTCTGGGATAAATGAACTTGATTTCATTTCAGATCTCAGAAGTGTTCCACGTTGTATAGATAACCTATGGACAAAACAACTGATCGGTAGATTCAGGTTCTTCACAGTCTTAAGACTGCTTTGCTTTTGCCCTCAATACTTCTTCATGTTCTTACCCCAGTGCAGTTCTGCACAGTGTTTTTGTACATTCATGTGTGGGCAGGGAAATAACAGTCTAAATCTATAAGAAAGAAAATGACATTCTGGGCAGAATGTGCCATCTTGATTGCTGGGAGATGCGCCCTGCTGTGCAAAGCCTGAATTCGTACAGCCTGAAGCTTCCCATATTCATTGTTTCCAGCATTTCTTGTTGGTTCTATTCCTTCAAAAGTGTCTGACTAAAAGGACACAGAAGACAAAAAGCATTAGGTAAGTTATAAGTTTTACAGCCAGGCTTTCAATCCTCATCTGGAAAGTAACAGAGGTAACAGATCTTCATTAAGTCACAGGGTCACTGTGAGATATGCGGAAGATTGTGAGATTGTGTAGTACTGCAGTATTGGTGATTGTTGAAATAATTTGGGGTTTTTGGGGCCCAATTCGACTGCTTAAATATAGGAATTCAGTGCCATTTGAGATACCTAAGTTATTCGAGGCCACCATGTATTGCTCGAAGGAATAACACAGGCTCTGTGGGAGACAGGCGCACTGCTAATGGCCTGAGTATCCATATAGTACAAACTCATATCTGCTGTATATTTTATCCTTTGTCCTCCATCCTCTGCACTTATACTTTGTATGTATGTAAAACACAACTTGTATTGTATTTCTCCTCAGCTGTATGTTGGTAATAGCCTTCTTGTTTAGGAATCCTCTCTGCTATACACTTCCATCTACGCGTTTTATTTTTCTTTCAGCTGTGGTTTGGCTGGAGTGATAACAAATGCAAAACAGTGCAGCATTTGTCTGCAGCTATTGTAGACATCTGAAATGATGGCTAGTTGTAGCTTGCCCAGATTGCAATAGCAAGTAGCAGTATTTCTTTCTCATTCTTTCTCCTCTCCTATTTTTTCATTCATCTTTCCTGCTTGCTTCTTAGATTGAGCTAATATTTCTTACGTTCCTCTCCTCCTTCTTTCTGTTGTGTATTTCTTTTCTTTTTGCATTTCCCGCTTCTCTCGCTCCTCCTTTGCCTCTAATACAGCAAATATTTAGTTTACAAAAAAAAAAAAAACAACACTTGTACATTCAGCATTTTCTCTGTTGCTTATTGTTGCTTGTTGATCGTGTTGACGTTGCTCATTTTAAAGTGTGTCCGTTGCATTTTTTCCTTTTCTGCTTGTTTCGGAGGCACTATTATGCTAGTTCCTAGAAGCTTTGAAGTGATAACAGGCAGAGGCAAGCCCAATCTGTTCATTGTCAGTATGAAAGCTTGATGCTGCAACTGAAGCACACTTGGGTGAAAACTCTTGATATATACAAAAGAGACGTGTCCAACTCTTTTGCACCCTTTTTTCTGGCAGCAAGTATGGAGTCTCACCACTACGTAAGTATTATCTTGTCTCACCTTACAGGGCAGCAGGATAGTGATAGGGTACACTAAAGCAGAGAGTAGGGATGAAATACTGCGTTTAAAATAAAAAATTCTAAAAGTACTGATCTGAATCTCGACTTTTTATTGGAGAGCCATGCTGACATCTATTTGCTAACTACTGATGAATCAGTCTCCACTGTCTCCCACATTCATCACTTGAAAATTCCTTACATATTTTCTTTGGTGATTAGTTTAAATGGTTTTGCTGTCCAAGGCATGTGCTTTCTCTTCAGTGCTTACTTGGCCTAAGATATGTGAGGGATCACATTCAGTGCACTTAACCTGTGCAAATCCTATAGTTTCCGAGCTGTCCTCAGGCACTCTGTGGCAATGCTCACTGTAAAGCTTCCTATAAAAAAAAAAAAAAAAATCTTGGCTAGTCCCAAGATCTCAGGTGTAACAAGATCGTTTTTGTTTCATATTTTTGATATAGCAGTGCTAAAGTAAGTGTGGAAGCAAACAATATACGTGAGCGAGCTCTCTTTCTCATCTTCTTGATCCTCATGCTATGTTGAAGGCTCATTTTGTGTGAATAGTCAAGAATGGATCTTCGTTTGTCTGACATGCCTTGCACGTATCTAATCTTATTCCAGGAGAAGATCTGTGTGTTAAACTTTGGTGACAATCTAGTGACTGTAAGCAAGTCTTCATTAAAGTCATACAAAGTAGAGGCTTCCTGGAAGGGCAGCTCCATGACCTCTCTCTGCAATGCACTATGCAGGGTAGCTTTGCTGAGGAGTGTGAACTATAAAGGTTATGTATCAGATGAAAGTTGTTCGAGATTCATATGTAAAGATTTAGACATCTTTGCTGTAAGTTATCTGCATGTGGTCTAGTCTTCCTTCTCTGGCTGATGGAAAGAAATGGGTGCTTTTTGAGTGTAATTTGTCTTGCCTTTTGAGACAGCTGAATCAGGATGAGATGATTCATGACCCAGAAACATTTTTTTCTTAAAAAGTCTAGATGACTGGAACAGTTGCAGACATCTGTGTTGTCACTTTCTAAATACAGACAAATAAACCCCATCCATTATGTAAATTCTGAAATTCTAAATGAAGAGATCGAGTGTTTTGGATGTACCTGCTGTAAACATAATTGAGCTACAGCCATTAAAAATACAAATCAAAAATGGTAAAAGAATTGTGACAATAGACAACCCCATGAATCGGTCTCCTGTGTCCAGAGCTGCTGTGTTCTCTACCAGTGATGCCTGAGCTGGCTCCGTGGCCAACAGTGCAGGAACATCTGTGTGTGCTCCACTCATACATTCAGTTGTAGATGTGCTGTGTTTTGTCTCTCCTAGGAGCGTCGCCAAGTCATATTGTCTCCTCGCATCTCTGGCATAGCACCACGCAGCAGTGATGTTTGATCAGGACAGATTAACTTTCTGTCCAGCTCCAAATTGTGCTTCGGTGTTCCTGCTGTTCATTTTAAAGAGAAGCCAGATGGACCAAGTCCATCAGCTTGCTTCTCCCATGACCCTGCAAAACCACAGGAGTGTTTTCTGTAGTACCGTCTTTTTTCCTAGTGACTTTCCCTAGTTTAAATCTTAAACTCCCTGAGCAGCACCATATTGTGGTGCTCACATATTGATACTCAGCCCCTGAGATATCTCAGCTTCGTTCCTGAGCCAAGCTGTGACTGTGGTTGTATCAAACTTACGCTGCATTAGGAGTCAGAAGAAAGTATCCTGTCTGCTGCTTACCCTGTTGAAGTGCCTGTCTTGAAGTGCATGTTAATCTGACTTTGAATTTCAGTTTACTTCTCTATACAAGTATCCTATCTATTGTAACTTTCATCTCTTTGTTTGCCTTTGCAGATGATCACTCCAGGATATGTCTGAAAGCTGAAAATAGCCACGACAATTCAGACTACATCAATGCTAGCCCAATTGTAAGTGCAACAGTTTATGAGAAATAATCCAAGTAATCTTTCCTTGTATTTCCATGCTGTTAAAATACGCTAACTTGGAGTATCTCACTGCCTCACAATGCTGATGTCTCAGTGTCCTTTGAAACCGAAGACAAAGAAATCTCCTGCAAGTGCATTCAATTCTCTTGTGGATTTCGTTTCAGAACAACAGAGACACTAGGTAGTTGTTCTTCTGTCTCACAACAATGTCAGTTTTCTTTACTTGATATTTGCAGTGATGATAAATATCAGTGATATGCCTTTTGCTTAGCTGTCCTTCTGTGAGGAGACTATGGTTGGTTGACAGACTATAAGAAAGAAGGAGATAGACTCTTGAGCACGGTCTGCTCTGGTAGGAAAAGGGGAAATGGTTTCAAACTAAAGGTGGGGTAGTGGATATAATAAAAAGGTTTTTTACAATAGGGTTGCGAAGCATGGGCGCAGGTTGTTCTGAGATGTGGATGCTCCCCCCATCTCTGGAGACATTCCAGGTCAGGCTGGACAGGGCTCTGAGTGCCTGACGGAGCAGTAGTGTCCCTGCTCATTGCAGGGAGGTTGAACTTGATGATCTTTAAAGGTCACTTCTAACTCATACAATTCTGTGAACTATGATTCATTCACTTTAAGCTTGTCTTACTGGCTAATGTCATAAGAGGAATGGTTTATGCAGGTGCGGACCACCAACCTTTCCAAGCTTATGAATTTCTGGAGCAAGAAGTGACATTTCCTTTTCCCTTACTTCATCTGTTGCATTCCTAGTAGTGCATAGCTGTGTTTCTTTAGCCCTCCTGGTTCTTTGGAGGGCTTGCTGTTTGGAAAGGAGTAACAAGTTCCCTTACCTCTTTATATTCATTCAAACTGCAAATTAGGTCTGCCCAGCTGTTGCCTCTGGATACCTCAGCATGGCCCAGCTGCCCTTTCTTGTCCTACTTATGCTGAGTATGGATCCTTGCTTGTCTGTGAAAGGTGATAGGGAGAAAAGCTCTCTATTTTTAGACACAAAGCAGGTTTGATGGAGCCAATAGTGTTGCCCTATCCTAGCTTCTCAGTGAAAGCGTCAGGATGCCTTTTGAAGGGGAAGAAAGGAGCTGTGTCTTTGACCTCTATGGAAACTACTGTGATGCATGTCACTTTGCATGTGGTTTTTATGCACATTACTGGAGAAAATTATTAGAGTGAAACTCTATGATAAAGAATTTAGGATGGAGTGGGCTGCGTGTGCTGTTACTGTCTCATTTTCCTGGGGAGTATCACTCCCCCAGTTAAATCAATTCATGTGGGCAAAGCAACTGACAGTTTGCTACAGCATGAGATTAGAGGCTGCTTTCTTCCAAGATTGTTGACAATACTTTCTTCCCCCTTTCTTTCCCCCTCCCCCCCCCAAAGAAAGAAAGAAAAAAAATCAAAACTTTTTTCTGAGCTTCATACTCTTTACTTGGATTGGAGTTCAGAAGCCTCATTTCATTGCATATATACAAATGTTTTATTCAAAGAGTTAAAATACAAAGAATGCAGCAGACATTTTCAGGAAACTTTTGTCTTTGACTGAAGATAGAGAAGAGCACATGCAGTCTTCAGGGATTTCCAGCTGCCATTTCAGAGGACAAGGGTAAGATGTGCATGGATTAAAGCTGTTTTGAGGCATCTTTAAACATTTCTAGACCAAGCTTTAACTGGCCTCGGGATCAGATCATCTGAGTAACTTTGAGCTCCAGTAAATTTGTATCCCACTTATAAAATCATACACAGAGGCTCAACTCCAGGACTTCAGTGCTCTTTTTCTCGGTTTTTAGAGCACATTGGGTGAATTCTGTTTGCTCAGGCTTTTATGTCATAGCGGGATCTGAGAGATTTAGAAGCAAGTGTTAACGGGGACTGAGATACTGTTTTCCTTTAAGTGCTTGGTGTTAATTTCTACTGTTTCAAGAAATGGAACTACAACGTTGTTAGATATGGTTCTAAGCCAGGTTCAGAGCTGCCAGTAGCACAGATGCTGTATTTTTGCCGAAGAAGTGAGTATGGACTTATGCAAGTTGCCCAGAAGTCTATGTGGGCACAGTCTAACTGGTTTTGGCACACAGATTCGCTTGGTTGATGGGTAAAATCTGGAATGCATTTATATGACTGTTTCAATTTTATTTCTGGATTATAGAATAGATATTCCCTTAATTACATTGGTGAGACAAGTGTTAGATCAAGTACTGTTGGGAATGGAGAAGCTAAGATATTCCACTGATATAAATAGCAAGATATTTATGTTGACTGGATGCACCATGTTACTGCAGGGAGAGGGTCTCCACTGGCACAGCATTTAAGTCTTCTAGTTTTACAGGGGGTTCTAGTCTGGTCTCTCCAGCATTCAAGGATATTTTCTACTGTAAGATTAGGAGACATTTTGTTTTATGTAGCTTTCCCAGATTCAAGAGTTTGGTCTAGTAAGAAAAGTCATACAAACTGAATTTCTTCAGGTTGTCTCCCTGTCTCTTCGTGTGCTCAGATGTATGTAAGTACACGACTGTTTGGGTTTGGACAAGCACCTGTGATCTTTCATAGCTGTAGAAAACTCCCAACAGTAACTATTAAGCTCCGCTTCTTTGTGGTAGGGATCCTACAGTGTGGGAAGGAGTGCCACAGCCCACATTCACGTAGACAACCTGTTAAACCAAGGAAAGAGATGCTCCAAATAGTTTTGCGAGTTTGTTTAGCTAACTCAGTAGTTGTGCTGTTTTGAAAGCAGTAGTTCAAATGTGTTTCCTGAAGGTCGGTGGGAGGAAGACACTAGTTGGCAAGCCCGTATTTTAGAAAGATTCCCTGCAAACTGCCTCATTTCAAGAGAATGAGATATCTTCAGGTTAGAGTAAATTTTTTGTTAATCTGGAATTGTTTCTGTACGGAGAGGTAGAATTTAGGAGTAATGGAGGCTTTCAGTGCTGTTCACCACCTTGGAAGCCTGCCAAAATATTCTGTCAGCCCCTTGGTTCTGCAGTATTTTCTGCATTGTTCACACTGCACAGGTCACACACTACTACTGTTTGTTTGAGATGTTTTCTGTTTGTGGATTTGGAGTAAAAACGATTGTACCTTTATTCACTCTCCAAAAATTCTGCTGTTTCTTTCTTCCAGAAGGTTGTCTTTCTACTTAAATAACATCAGTAATTACCATGTCAGTACTATGATGTTTGTTGGTGCACTTGTGCAGTGGTGCAACCAGTGCTTGGGTTGGGAGCGCATTGTGAACTGCAAGATGAACACTAATAGCAGAGGCTCTAAACTGGAAGAGGACTTCTCCTCCCTGCATGTGAGCTGTCTGCCAGGGGAAGAGTGCAGAATAAAGTAATTATATTTGTGCTTTGGGTAGGGAGGCTTCCAGTCATGTATGTGTTGCTGGGTATCCAGCTTCTAGGTCAGTGGTCCAGCCTCCAGCTGGGCATCACTCAGCATTGCCTTAAGTCTAAATGAGTGCAGCAGAACACAGCTAAAAAAAAATAAATAAAAATCCCATTGCTAGACAATGAGCTGGCCACCTGCCCACATCTTCTTTCCTTTAAAAAAAAAAAAATGCTGCTCCCTCAAGAGCAGCTTTCCCTCTAGCATGTTGTGAAAACTGGGGTTGGATTGGTGGCCTCAGTATGCCTGGAAGAAGCTGAAGAGAACCAGCAGAGATTTAGTCCAAGTTTTTTTCTGTAGCCATTTAATTTTCATGTAGCTTCAGGCCAGGCAAAATGAGTCCTTGGGAGAATTTGCAGCGTAAAAGTGGGGTAGAAATCTGTTTCCCTCCTCTCCGGAATAAAATAAAGTAATATGATAATAGCTCTGCTATTGGCTGCTGAATGAAAGGCTTGCAATTACAGCACAAGGAGACCCTGACTGTGCAGAATAAAACTGTGATAATTACATCTGTCATATTTGTATTTAGTCCTCATTAAATTTCGGGAAAATCATCCAGTGGTAAATAATGTGCAATCTTTGCTTTTAAATCAGAGGTCATGAAAGTAAATGGGAATTCTGTTTTTCCTCATAGGGTGTCTGGGAGAGAAAAAAAAATCCCATCAACTACATTTAAAAACTCAGTTTGCTTATTATTGAAGACACCAGACTGAGGAATGTCATTAACGTGACAGTTTGTTCAAACACAGCATACAAATTTCATCACCAGGAATGGGCTCTGAAATTCATAACAGCATTCACAGCCAGATTTACTTCTTTCATTCCATTAGGGGTTTTAAAAGAAGGATGGGAAATTTGTTTTAAATTTTAAGCCAAACGTGAAGGGGAGGTCTGGTCTGCCTTCTTTTGTTTTAATGCTGAAATTTAAGTGATTACAGAGTTCAGAAGCATTTAGTGGACACACTTTTTTTACTTTCATAGATTATTTATGCCTTATAGTGTACAGTAAATAGATGTAGAGACATAGATTAAATGGACAGTATATGCTCATTGAATCTGAATGAATTCCTTGAATTCATTCAAATTTTAAGTATTAATCTACGTTCAACTTGATTTCCATCGTATTTAGTCTCCACTGTATGTCATTCTGATCTTATAGGAATATTTCAGCTCAGATTTAGGTAAAGGTGAATACAGTGTGGCTGAGAGCACATCTTGCCCAGTGTTGTAGTGTGCAGAAAGTAAGGATCTGAGAATCTGAGGCAGAAGGTAAAGGGCAGGAATGAATCAGTGTATAATGTACGTGAGAGTTTAAAATGGTCATCGATGCCTCTGGACATCTTTGCTTTTACTTCAGTTACCAGTTTCATGAAGACTGCTTCACAAGGATCTGTATGTACTGCTATGTCAAATACAACAGGTTTGAGGATTTTTCTCCCAGAATGTATTGATATTGCTGTACTTCATCAGCATGATCAGTGAGATCCTGCAGCAATGGGATTTCTAACTCACAAAAATACTGAATTCTTCAGAGAAACAGAGCAGTTGGATAGTGGAGCTCTTGTATGAACAACGAGAGGAGTTTTTTACTCGCTAGTAAAGTAAATTTATATTTTCTGCTCCGAAACAGAGTACATTGACTTTAATTAGAAATTACTGTAGAAAAGCACAAATATGCCACTAATATATCTAATAGTTAGGGATTGTTTTCTGTGGCACTTGTTTTCTAGCAATAAACATGAATGATGATCCTGTTTGTTCCCATTTGCTTTTGGTAATGACCAAAAGACCAGTTAATATGGCCCGTTCTAGTATTTGATCCTTGATTCCTTTCTTCCTTAATACAATAACATGGAATCCTATTCTGAACATCACCAGGTTTGCCTCTGTCGTATTACATCAGGAAATGAGATATCTGCCACAGCATTACTGCTGCAATAATTGCACCTTTCTTCTTTTGAGAAAAGGCTGTTCCACCAATTCTGATGCCAGTCATGTGAACGTTGTGCTTGAATGGGAACATGAAGCAAAAAAATCCTGCTTTTTTTTTTTTTTTTTTTTTTTTTTTTGAACAATTACAGTTAGGATGATTTCTGAAGGATTTTCCTTAGTAAAATATTAGCAAGCAGTTGATTTTTCACTTTAATAATACTCAATAGTATGAAACCTGCCGTTCAGTATTCTTGAAGAATTTTCTGCTTTATCTTGTGATGTGAGAAATCTGAGGGATCCTTGCCTGGGAAAAAAAAAAAAAAAAGCCTTTTATTTGATCCTTGATTAGTTACTTTAAAACCTGTTACTAACTATTATTTTTCTATTTGAACTTCTGTTAACTTTGATAGATGGCCTTGGTGACCTTGAGAGAACAAAAAAGACCATAACAAAAATACTGAAGAACTGTCCTTTATTGTCACGTTAAAACTGAATGTGATTGGTTGCACTTGGTCAAAATACATGGCCTTAAAACTGTCCATAAAATAGAAAATTGATGGAACCAGGAATTTAATTTAATTAGTTTAATCTTTGCTGTCATTTTTGTTCAGTTAAAGATCATTTAATAGTGTGCTGAGGCTTTCTGCCATCTTCTGCTTGCTCCAAGCAAGAAGAGTTTCTGCTCATAATTGTTCTCTGCACAACACAGTGTGCTTGGAATGCAATAATTGTAATTGCCTTTTGAATTATTGCTAAACTGCTGATACACTTCACTACTCTGTGCTTATTGTAATGTTTGCCGTGTTCCAACAGCACCTTTGTGACAGGGGCTGATTAATGCTGAAATGCCAAGATTGGCCTATTCCTGAGTCAACCAGCTGAATGGTGACAAGTATTTCCTCCACGACAGCACTATTTGCATCATCCTTGATTTCTTCTGCCTTTGTTTTCTGGCATAACAAATTTGCGTTAAGGATAAATTAAGCTCTTATTTTTATAAAGTTTTGTGTGTTCACTGTTGGTTATGTTTCCAAGTCAGACTCTTGAACTCTTGACAGGTGGCATCATTTTCAAGTAAGCTGCATGCATGCACACTAGTTTCCATGGGGAGCAGTACATTCTTGTTGGTGCAGGTTACTTTTTGTAAGCCAAGATTTTTAGTTACGGTGTAGGAAAGCATTTCAGTACATGACTAAATCACAGGATTCAAAACAGAGTATTTAGCTATAGAGTCGTGGTATCATAGAATGGCTTGGGTTGGAAGGGACCTCGAGGATCATCAAGCTCCAAAGCCCCTGCCACAGTTAGGGTCACCAACCTACATATCTAATGCTAGACCAGGCTGCCCATAAGGAGAAATAACCTTTAGGCCTGCCTTTGCTTAATCACATCCGTTGTTGTTTTCATTGTCCAATTCAGTGCATCAAATGTAACAGAAAGCAAAACGCACAGAAAGGTGCCCAGTTTGAAATGGTTTGTAAGTTTCTTCTACTAATACTGCTTTCTGAAGAAAGTTATTTACTACTGGGTATTTTGAGATTGGGAGAAAATGTCCTGCTATCAAAATTGCTTTTGTCAAGAGGCAAGGCTGAAATTTGTTCTGAGCGATTGCTTGTTGTGAAGAGTTGTTTGCTGATCAGAGAAGCATCTCAACGAAGCTCAGAATAAAATGAAGGTATTACAGACATTCTGGTCAAGGTTTCTGAAAACTGTGGGTGGTGAATTAGAAGTAAGCTTTTATTCAGTGGCTTCGTTTTACCTGTGTTGTGTTGTCATGGAGAATTTTAATATCAAGTCCAGTTTAATTATACATCAGAAAATTAGAAGCATTAAAGGATTCTCTTCTTTTTTGCAACATTCATCACATTGTTGTTCTGTTAGAATAACTTACATCTGTTCTTTTATGGTCCTTCCCGCTTTTATGTGCATATAATTATGAGGTGCCTTCTTTTATGCTGACATGTACCATCACTGAACATTTTGATAGGCTATGAATAAATTCAGGAGATGCCTGTTAATGCAAATGTGACTCACATTCATTCTTATTCAGATCTTTACTTATAGAGCAGAATCATGCATTGAGAGAAATTTTGCCTTCAGCTACATGGGTGTAAGTTAACTCTTGCTGTTTTCAGTGTCTTTCTTCTTTATGTTTGAAGTTTTGTCTTGCCTAGTTCAGGGTCGGAATGAGTTTGTTTGTTTTTTAATCCCATCAGCAGATCTTCTTTTTCAGCAGAATGGTTCCTGTGATTTAGAACCAAGAAAACCACCCATCGGTTAGAAAACGTTCATTGTAACACACTAATCCTATTTACTCTTCACGGCTTTGTTTCTTAGATTCTTTATTTTTTCTGCTCAGTGAATTTTCTGCTCCTTGAATTAAATGTTATAATTAAGGTCTTTAGGCAGAACTTCTTCTGTTGTGGGCAAATCCATGCATTTAGGCAGCTCAGCTGACCAGAAAAAGCCAGAAACTGAATTTGTTCCCCATTTTTGCTTTTTTTTTTTTCTTGAGTTACATGAGCCCTTGACTGGGATAGTGGAAATGAAGAACATTTTTAAATGTTTGGAGTATTCTTAACACTCAGTGTAAAACAAAACAAAACAAAAAGTTTCAGATGGCTCCTAGGTTGCTATGAAACCACAGCGCTGACCTCAAATGCCTTTGTCAGCTACCGTAAATGATCTTACACTGCATATTGAAGACACGGGACATTGCTCATCACACGTGCTGATATTCATGTGGTAGCATCAGTCTTTTATGGAAAATGGTCTCCTCTGGGCATATAAATAGAAATAAAGTTCTTGCTTGCCAGTGAAGAATGGAGGGATGTAACAGGCCTTTAGGAAGTCCTTTGTTAGTGCCCCAGTGTACTCTCCGTTTGTAACACAGCAAAGGATTTTCCTTCAACTAAATCCAGTCTGTGTTCTCCTTCCTGATTTCAGATGGACCACGACCCCCGAAACCCAGCCTTTATTGCCACCCAGGGCCCTCTCCCTGCTACTGTTGCTGACTTCTGGCAGGTAAGTTAAACATCTATTTGAAAACTGATTTTATATTGCAAGTCAAATGTTTTGTTGCATTCTCGAAACACAGAGAGTGTAAAATCTGTTGTATTTGAATTACGATAGTAACTCAATACCATAGCTGAAATATCTTCTTAAAATTTATGAATGTGAGAAGCCCTTTGAAGGGAAGAGTTGATCTAGAAATTATATGGAAAAACCTGTGGTCAAATTCTTCATATTTTAATGTCAAATTTGACCAGATCTCCATAACTAAACTGCTGTCACATACTGAGTGATTTTCAGAGGTCTTGACCCTGTTAAGAGCATAGTCACAAGTCAGTTCAACTTCCAGATCAAAGAAGACCCAGCACAGTGAGTTGTGAATTTTTGCACCAAAACCTGGTTTTCACATGCCCCAGTTCTCCACAATGCTTTAGTGCTTGTGCATTTTCCCTACCACAGGTAGTTGAGTTAAATGCTGAGTTAATATCCTTCTACATGAAGTAAAGTAGGTCCATACCTTTTTTGCTGGGGTATAGGCAATAGTTACCAATGCACAAATAGGAGTGTTAGCATGCAGCCTTTTCAACTGCTTATGCAGCTCTCCGATGCAAACACACACACGGCCAGGCTGAGTGCCAACATTACATGCTGTATGTATTCCTTTGAAAGTGTAAAAGTTTGTCTGAAAGCTTATGGAAGCCGATTGAGTAGAAAATGTTACAGCTGACTTGAGCTTATCATCATGAGCATATGTTTTTATTTTATTTTGTTTTGAAGAGAGAGACTATTTAAGTACGCATTTCAGAAAAGCTATTGTGATTTAGGAACTTCCACTGAGTTGAAATCACCTTCGTTCTTCATCTGCACCAGTAGGTCTGTGAGTATAAGTATCAATTGGACCTTACTAAAGATAATCTTTATGCTTTTCGTAGCATAATTCCCTACTGCTTCTCTGATAGAAGAGCAATCAGGAGATTTTCAGATCGTTTGTTTGACTTTGAGTGTCTGGGTATTTAAATACTCAACCTGAGGTATTTTGGGCCTTGTTTTTAGAAGTGTGGAACAAATGCATTCTGCTTGAAGTGAGTTGAGCTGCTCTTCCGGATTACATTTTCAAGTAAATTGTGATTTTTGCCATCTATGTTTGGTAATTAGACACAGTTGAGGAGACTGATTTTTTATTTTTTTTTTTTTTCCTTGATGAGAGCGTTCCTGTATCAGGCATGCTACCTGATAATGTGTCCTTAAGTAAACAAGCAAAATCAAATACCATGTTAGCGCGTGCAGTGCTATTTTAAGATCCCTTTTAATTGTATTTTTCTTTCACATTTATATGCTTATATGTTGTATACTTTTACCTGTAGCTTTGTCTTTACTATTGAGAAACTCTGTTCTCATTTTTAAAGACTTTAAAAGAACAAATTGTATGAAAGCATTGCGGCTGACACAGAAATCAGAATTAATCATACCAACATTGTGTAAAGGAGATATTTTGTTCTTCTCCTATTCTGATTTGAACAGTTAGACAACCTGCTTGCACAGACGTGGTGACCAAAGCTGAAACTTTCTTTGTTCTGTAATCCAAGCCACTTCCACCCAATTCTGTTCTTAAAGATCTCTTTTGACCTTTTTTCCTCATGCTGCTTGTGACTTTATTTTCCTTCACTTTCCTTCTGCTCTTTTTAGTTGTATCTTCGCCCTGCAATCCATTGGTGACAGATCACCCCCTCTTCCCCACCAGATTAGTTGTACTGAGCACCAAGGAAATCATCTGACTGCCCTGATTCACTCCTCCTCTGTGAAGCTGTGTCCATTCTTGATGTGATGTACTTCTGTTGGTTTTTCTGATGGTTCCGTTGAAAAGTGTTTCTTCATTTTGATTGTATCTGTCACTTCAACATAGCTGTGTCTGTTGGTTGTTCCGTTACCTGCTTTTTTTGGTCCCATCAGCATTGGGTAAATCACATTCCATGCTGCTTCATGTCCCGAGCTTTGTTACCTGGCCCAGGCTATTAACCAGGTGTGATAAATGCACTGAGACTAACTCCTTGCATAGCATTTTTTCAATAACCACTAAAATGCAGCAAGTCTATTGCAAAAGTAAAAAGCCATGGCTTGAAGTTACTGCCCTTCATGTCCAGAAGCAGGAGCTGAGATTGCATCCATTTTTCACCTAGCAGTAGCTGTATGAAGTAAAGTAAGGGGAACTTGCCATGGAGAGCAGTGTTAACTCCTTTTAGAGCAGAATCCTTTGATGTTTACTTGAATATGATTTTCTGTAGTTTATTCAGATTGTGGTGCTGCCGCTAGGGATTGTTTAAAGGCTCAATTATTCATTTCTGTTACGTTTTCTTAGTGGTTCTCCTCCCCTTCCCTCCACTCAAATCAGCTGGTGCTGAGCTGGGCTGCTTGTTCCCCTTCTGCATGGTCAGTGGAGCAGTTTTCCAACTGACAGTAACAACAGTGACCAACTCCACAGTAGAGAGACCTGGGATCATTCAGCTGCTCATTGTCTAAATGCACAATGCTATGCTTTAGCAATTCCAACAGAGACTCTTGGAGCTTGGCATCGCTTTCATTGCCAATATTTACTAGATCTATTGCTTCCTCTTTTTGCAGACGGAGACTTAAATCCTATTTGCACGGTGAGCACCAGCCACTCTGCTTTTCCTTGGCTGTCAGACTACCCCAGCAAGAAGCTAGGGTAATTGCTTCCACTCCTTTAAGCAGTTCAAGCTGTTTTCAGGAAAACACTTGTCTACAAATATTTGTTTAACTTGAAAGTGTAAAACTACTTCTTGGCATTTACAGCACAACTAATATCCATCATAAAATCCGGACTGTTCCTGACCTATCTTAATTAGGTTCAGTGCTTACTTCCAGACACTCCATTTCTAAACTTAGTTTCTCTTAAACCTGGATTGAACTCTTCTAACAGTCAGGCATTGTACTTATTTTGTGGATTTAACGTTAGACCAACATTTTGGTGGTCTGATGGACCAAATGCATGTTAGCAGAGGGGTAAAGCTGTAGATACTGCTGATTCTCTTTTTCCAACATAGATGTGTGAAAAAGGAACCAAATTCCTTAACTCAAACACTGATCTGCAGTGCTTGGTCTTGTGCATCTCTATGTTTTCTGTATTACAGTGTTGTTACTCACATTCATTATCTCCGTTTAAGACCTAACTGATTAGTTTTGGATAATCTTTTTTTCCTAGTTCTGTTGTCAGGCCTCTCTAAAACCAGATATGTTGATCCAGTGCCCAATATTTTTGTGCAAGTGCTCTTAGACACTCAGCAGTCAAATTCATATTTACTGCTTTCACATTGCCCAGACCTGAACAGGGATCATGGTCAGCTCAGTGTCTTCTCTTTCCCAGTGTGTGCAAAGCTTTTAAATCAATCATTGATGATGCTTTATCCAAGCTCATCTTGTTTACCGTTGATAAGCAGATCCAGGCCTAGTACCTTATGAGGCTGAAAGAGGACAAGTTTCAATCTTCTCACTATTTTTTTTTTACAAATATTATTTGTGGTAAGATACGGAAGAAGAGCAAGTATTGTTCCTTAGTACCATCTCACTTCAGCCACTAGAGCTGCTGATCAGACGTAGCGTTTTCTGAGCGTGTTTCTGTTCTGTAAAATTTGGATTTTAATCTTAGCTGGAGAGAGATTTGCTTAATGGAAGTTATTATTTCAAAGAAGCAGTCTTTGAGCTGGAGATACAGCAGTGTGGGGGTATGTGGATTATTTTTAAATGTTTTTCAAATCAACTTGATGTCATAAGAAGAATAATGCTAAAAAAAAAAAAAAGTCTTACTGTGGCTTTTCTGATGATGCAAAGGCACTTCCAGGTATCAGAGTTCCCTCCAGTCTACTTCTGCAGCTCCTTACATCGTTACCACAGCTCCTGTCAGCCAGCAAGCCCCAAGTTAGTTCCAACTTCCCTGATTTACCTTTTTCTTTGAAAACTTTCTAGCCTGCAGCAGATGTGTTGTCAGTCACCTCATTGATCTGTTTTGCCACAGGGCTTCCTAATCTGTCTGGATTCCCTGTGTTTGTAGCTCAAGCAGAGATTTCATCTCTGCCTGCATGTCATCTCTTAGACTGTTCTGGAAATTTTCCAGCCACTACTTAATTAATTTTGAAAAGCCTCCAGCTGATTTAGGCCTTCTTTTAATTTCATCTGGTCTTGATTTCATCTCTCTTTACCAATTACTATTTCTGAGATATACCTCATTCATTGATTCTATTTTGGTTCAGTGGGAATTCCACCTGACAGTTCCATTTCTTGAAGACAGGATGACTCTTCTCACACGGTTTTAATCCATTTTTACCTGAGTGGTTAAACAATTTGCCGGGTCTGTGTGTTGTTTTCTTCTCAGCTGGAAAGAGAATTCATCATCAGGACAGGTTTTTGCTTTGATACAATTCCATTTTATTTACAAAAGAAGTACAGAGTTTTATTTCTTTGAACAGAAATAAATAGAGGCAGAATCAAATGAATTCTTTATTTCCAAACCTCATTCACCCAGTGTTTGGCTCCAACCTTTCTTTTGGCTTTTCTTATACCAGGACCACAATACTAGTTTGTCAGCCGTGCCGTGGTTTCTTTATTCCTTTTACATGTTCTTCCATCTTATCTTGATTAATCTTGCCTTTATTAATGCCTCTCTCTGCACTAAGCATATCAGTTTCTGGAAAAACTCACAGGTCCATATGCTTCCTATTTCACTTGTTTTTGATGATAACTTCTGTAATTTCAGTTATCAAGCTTCTTAAAAGAGTTTGCTTGTTTCTTGCATTTATCTTGAATGAAAGGTGATGATTTTGTCCAGCAGCTTCACTCAGCTCTTTCACATAGCACTATGAAAATTCAACATCTCTTTGAACATAATTCAAAAGAAAGAGGATGTAGAACATTTCTGATCTATAACAAGTTTTCGCAGCAGGAGTTCCATGTTGTGAATAATTCTGGAGGCATAAAATTTTATTATTTTCCGTATGTGC